TTTCCCAGTCACGACGTTGTAAAACGACGGCCAGTGCCAAGCTTGCATGCCTGCAGGTCGACTCTAGAGGATCCCAAAATTCGGTTACTGATTCTTTAATTTCGGTTACTGATTCTTTTTGATTTCTTTAACAAAGTTTTTTTTTCGTCAGGCGGGACGGGGGCGCATCTCCGCCCCGCGCGCTCGGGGCTCCCGCGTAAAATCGGGAGCCCCGTTGCCAACCCTACGACAAACGAACGATCTCTAAGAGGATACGTTTGTTGGGTGGAGCCAACATATCTGTAATATCAAATAGTAGGAATAGGCAGTTTAAGATTATGAAACTTACGGTACATCAACAACGAAATGCTGTGATCTCTTCTCTGGCTCATTCGGATCGTATTCCTCAAATTCGATCGTCTGCCGAATGAGATTTCCATTTACTCTACATGTGAAATCCATTTATGTAGAAACTGAATAAGATCTTGGTGTGTCAGGGTAGCGCATTTCAACCACATGTTGCGACCGGCGAAGTTCTGAATTTAAATAATTTGAACAATTAAATTGAGAATCCAAAAAGAAACAACAACTCACAAGAAAGTAATCTGGTCCGCACTGACAATCAACGATAATACTCTGCACTAGAAAAAAAGGAAATTCTTTTGACAATTCTCCAACAATGCTTGATAAGACAGACAGAAACTGACAATTGGGATATGTCGTCAAAACGTTCGTTAAATATTGTGGGTCTACAGTGTCGTCTTTTAACAAAATGTCTCTCACACTTGTAATGTTGGGAAGTTTTCCTTTACATTTCACCGATAGGTACAATTGGAAAGTTTTAGAATAATGGAATAGTGATTTTAAATGATCTTGAAACGCTTTCTGAATTGACATTGGCTCGTTGGCACATTCTATTCGGTTTTTAAAACTCCCGTCTTCCTCGCACCATGAATCGAAACTGAAAAGTATTCTTATTTAGTGAAAAATAGATTACTCTAAAAGTATACTAAATTGTATATACAGTAGTCTGTATGGTACTCCTTGAATTCCATAGGTGTGTTCTTTTGATCTTCCAATAAAATTGATGTTTCTTTTCTCATCTGTTTTTTCTATAATTATTAGTTAATCTCTGTGAAACTAAGCGAGAAAAAATTTATTGTACTAACAGTAATCACCATTTAGGCTTATCCCAGGGTGGCGATGTATTAGAGGTAGCGTTCTAATGCAGGTAGCGTTATATTACAATTCGTATGGTATTTCATTTCACTATCATTTGGCAAGTATAAATCTTTTGTTCCGAACGTCTTTGATACTAGAACTATGAATAAAACTCACTTTGTATCTGCTTTGTAATCCATTCCAAGTTTTATAGTCAAAACTTCCTCAAAGCCAATGTGTCACGATGCAGCACTGATGTTACAGTCAACCATTTCATATCATTAGTCACAATTCCAATTTGAAATGTGTCATATCCGTCGCATTCGTCAAATTGAAATGTTAATTGGTGAGCCCTAATTTGTGCTTGTTTCACAAAAAGATGAATGCGGCGGGAGTTTATACTAAGTAGGAATATGCCTGGTGATCCATTTCAGTCACAACCATGACGCCAACTAAAGAGGGTAGTTTGAGAAAAATTTTAAATTTGAGCCAATTTATCTCGGTCACTTCAGAAGATATCATCTGATAAAATTCTTGTTAAAATATCACAAACATTTTATCAGTTAACGCATTCTTGATATCTCTTATAGGAATCGAGATAACAGAGCTCAAGCTTGACATTGTGGGGGCAGCCTTCTATTACAGGTTTTACGGTAAACACGATGAAAGTATATAATTAAAAAAGCATGTGATTTTAAGAAAAGTTTGAGAAGCCCTTTTTTATTCAGAAAAAAAGAAACAGAATTTTTTCTTCTCTAAATTGTACATAGAACTTTCCTGGGACGTTTCAGTGTTCTTCGGAAACGTTCAAGATTGTACTGATTCCTTTTCTAACTGTTCAGGTTCCAGAAATTTCTAGAATTCAATGAAAAACTAGAGAATATTATTTTCTCCTCTGTTGGTCGGTTTATCAATTTCTACAATTTTTCAGACCGTTCCACAACTTTTTTGAAAGTCCGAGAAGATGCATTTTTTTTTTTGAAATTTTTTTCTGTTCTAGTGAATTTCTTTTTTTTAGCTTCTAATACAATCGCAGTTCAAGACCACATAAGTTTAACGACCCATTCAATTTTTTTTGCCAGTTTTTTACCCAGTTTTTCTATCACTTATCAGTGATAACAAGTATTATTTACTTTTTTCAGAATTTTTTCAGCACTTTTTTTTTGATTTTAAGTACCAATTTGATAAGAAAACTTCTGATTTCCAGTCCAAGTGCCCAGTTGCCAACACGAAAAACTCGCACAGCGCCAATGCACGAGATATGCGCCAGGCTGGCGCACCTCTTGCGAATACTTTCTTTGACGTTTCCTTGCTTCTTCCACTGAAATTCAAGATATTTCCATGAATTAATTGTCTCAAAATAATAAAAATCATAATATTTATAATTCCAGAATGTCAAAAATTGTGCACGACGCCGTTCAAAGTCTCTTCCCAGGCAATTGTTTCGAGGAGTTGCTGATCAACTTCAACTTCTTCCATCGTAAGCTATTTTATCTTTTTTTGTTCCATAAATATACGAAATTTTTTCAGCAACATGCCCAAAAGCAGTGCTCAGTCGTGGACTTGGATTCGCCATTACACTTGGCTCGATTCTCCTCTTCGTTCCGCAGATTTTGAAAATTCAGGCGGGTAAAAGTGCGCAGGTTAGTGCTTTCCATGGGATTTTCAAGCATTTTATTTGAAATTTTCAGGGAATCTCCGCCTCTTCACAACTTCTCGCTCTCGTCGGAGCTATTGGAACGGCTTCGTACAGTTATCGATCAGGATTCGTTTTCAGCGGATGGGGAGATTCGTTCTTCGTCGCTGTTCAACTTGTGATCATTCTCCTTCAAATCTTCCTGTTCAATGGACAAACAGCTCTCTCAGTTGGATTCCTAGGAGTTGTGTCTGCTGTTGCTTACGGTGTTATCAGTAAAACCATCCCAATGTATGTGTTGACATACGTTCAAACCGCCGGAATCCCGATTGTCGTTGTGTCGAAGGTAACAGATAATTCTCGAATTAAAATCATTTAATCTACTGCTTCAGCTCCTTCAAATCTCTCAAAACTACCGCGCCCAATCCACTGGTCAACTCTCACTGATCTCCGTGTTCCTTCAGTTCGCTGGAACTGTCGCCCGAGTGTTCACTTCTGTTCAAGACACTGGCGACTCGCTTCTCATCATCTCCTACTCAACAGCCGCCGTGCTCAATGGTCTCATTTTCGCCCAATTCTTCATGTATTGGTCCAACGCGGAAGCGACTAGAAAGAAGAGAAACTAGCCGGGAAGCACATCTACTATTGCAAATTATCTAAATTATATCTTAAATACATGTAATATGAATCTCTTATTATTTTAGCTATTTATTAGATAGACAAGCGGGTAAAAGAATGCTCCTAGATAAGAAAAAAACAAAGAAAACTGTCACACAGTGATTGGGGTGAAAAAGTGGGTGAAAAGTAATCATCAAACAAGTAAAGTAAAAACTCATGAGTCGGGTAGGCAGTAATAAATATACACTTTGAGATATGTGGGTCGTTAGAGAGAAGTCAATAAATATATACATATATGTAGTGGAATTAAGTGGAGGACAAGAATGCGGCACGAAAAAAAATCAAAGGGCAGAAACAGGAAAATTATTAGGTCTTCAGACTTCTGACTAAGTCTTTTTCAGACTAAAGACAGAAGTTTCGTTCCACCAGCTTTTTGCACGTCTTGCATTTCACTTCGCAGCACCAGACGAATTGACAATGGCACGGCTCGTCGACGATTTCGCGAGTCGTTCTCCAGCCTCGTCCACAGCAAATGTTCGAGCATTTATCGCCGCATTCTCGATCCTTGACGTCGATTGCGCAGTAGTTGGGTGAAGCATCGAGATAGATGAGCTCGTTTCTCATTTGCTGAAAAAATGGAATTTTGAAGTGAAGTGAGACGTTTCGGGTAACAATTAAGCACGCATCGCGAACAGGCATCTGAAAACAATGAGCTGGCCATACTTGTAACGGGCCGGGCCGGGCTTTTTCCCGAATTTCAGAGGCCCGGCCCGAGCCCGGCCCGGCGGGCCTGTCATTCCACAAGTTTTGAAAATTTCAAAAAACACATAAGGGGGGACCCTTTTGTGATGTTTTTCGATCAAAAAATTTTTCGGGTTTTTTAATATTTTTTTTGATCAAACAGACAAACAATCCAAAAAGCACAAAAAATATAGAAAATTGTATTGGGAGCTCAAAATTCGGTTCAAAATGACAAAATTTTTGCTACCGGGCCTTCCGGGCCTTGAAATTTTCCTCAGACCCATGAGACGTTATCCAAAAAAGGCGCTTGCGACAGCCATGCTGGCACGCGACGCCGACACGCGACGCGTTCAAAATTAGCTCGGCGCCAAGCGCGATGCCGCCTAAACTGAACAAGCAAAAACCGAGCAAAACTAAGCAATAACCTACCTTTGAAGAAGCGTCCAAAGTTTTGACGTATCTTTCTGTTCTTCCGGAGAGCCCTGCAGACGGTGTGCTTCTTACAAACAGCTTCTGATCGTTGTTAGTCACAAGTTTCGCGAGTTGATACTTCTCATGAAGACGTGCGGCAAACTCATCGAACTTTGGCATCACCTTCCAGCAAGTCTTGGTGACACAGCTTCCCGACACTCCGTGGCATTTGCATTCTCTATTCATCGCGTTGGCGAGAAGACGTCGGCCGACGCGATTGTTGTGCAAATTCATCTGGGAACGTGGCTCGGTGGCGTGTTGACGGTCGTATTGGTCGACGAATTTGCGGCCGAACGCGTTGCCAAACTTGACGTTGTCCGAGCATCCAGCCCATACGAAGTCACTCGGTGAGCGGCTAGCGGTGGAAGAAGTTGGGTCGGTTCCCTGTGGCGTCTCTCCACAACCGCAATCGTCGATTAGGCCCTGGAAAAGCGAGAAGTTAGGAAAATAGAAAATATAACATTCAAGGAAAGCAATCAAGGTCATTTTGCCGACATGCTGCTGACTCATATAATACTTACCTTCGAACAAGCGCGAGCCAGTGAGTGAGACACGCCGGCTGCGGAAATCGCGTACACATATGCTGATTCACGGGAGGCAACTGAAAAGAAGGGTGTAATTTGAAAATTGGAACGGGACAGGTGCTGATTTTGCTTACTCTGTAGAGGTGATGTTCCGACACCTGGGAGTGTGAGTGTGCAGTTCCATGCTTCTCGCTGGAACGTGTACTCGCAGGTGTGCAGTGCGCTTCGAAGTCCGGAGATCTAGAAATTGAATTGTTTGAAAATGAAAACTAGCTTGTGATCCTTACCAAGTACTTGATAATGTTCGGATTCTCATGGCACATTCGCTTCTGCTGTGGCGTCAATCCGGGAACATTTTTGCAGAGAATCGGCGAGTTGGACGTTGTGGGTGACGACGTGTCCGCTTTCGAAAGCAACCTAGAAAAGGTAATTTTGGTTCGTTCAAGGTCTACGATTTTTATAGCTCATAAAATCCTATTGGTGGTGCCGAAGAACGGCTGTCGTCGGGGGGATTACTGTGATGTTGCCAAACAATTTTAGGCGGCGCGCAATTTTACGATCGCCTATGGGACCCTTTCGGTTCTCACCGACAGCAGGGGCTTTTATGACAGAAGGAAATCTGCGGTACTGTGGGAACATATGAAAGAGGGAGTAGTAGGAAAATTCGGCTAAATGCAAGCACAGTGTTCGAATTGCTGTGGTAGGCGGTTGCGCTTCAATGAGTAGGGGACGTAGCAGAGGTTTCGGCCGTTTAAAGTCAGCGTTTAGGTGGAAAATCAACTAAAAAAGGAGAAATTTGGATTTCTAACGGCCTAGAATTTTGCCACGTCACATTACAGCACAGCAGCATGCTCATAGCTGTACGAAGCCTATGAAGGTTACAGACATTTTTGAACCTTGCTGATTACTACGCAACCTAATAATATCTCAAAACACTTACCACCATGAGTTAACCGTCGTCGGTGCACAGGCGAGAAGACACGCCAAAACGAGAAGCGATCGGATGAGCATAGCTGACGAATAAATATTCTGATGTCGTCGGATCGAGATCGAGAACGACGAACGAAGACAGGGGGGCGGAGCTTGTTGGGGGTTGTGCCCGCGCGCGTTCTGCAAAATGAATGCGTTATTGAGGTGGGATCCCGCCCCTAGGAAGAGGTCAGAAAGTGGGAATGGGGTAAGAGCAAGTCCACCTTCACCTAGTTATAATAATAAAAGATTTAAAAAAGAGGACACAGGTTCTGGTGAGTACCGTCAACAAGATGTTTTAGGGGCTGTAAAATATGGTATTAGAGAGATAAGATTAAAAGAAACGCCGCTGTTGTTTCGAGACAACAGACGTTACAGCAGACGGTCGAAGAGAAGCAATGACGAAGAAAATTGAAATCCATGTCAAAGAGCTTTTTTTTTTTTCGGCAGAGAGTTCGCAGAAAAGAAAGGCGCAAGAAAAAAAGAGACAAAAATCGAAGGAAACGAAGGTGCGAGGAATTTGGCGCCAAACGAAAATGCTTGCTAAAATTCTTGGCGCGCATTGAAGCGGATTTGTAGATAGATAATTTTAATAAAATTTCAAATGATATTCTACGAATTCGACACGAATTATCAGGCAAGGAAAGCGAAAAACTGTCGCCGGAAGTTAGAAAAAAACGCCACACTTTTCGAGGAAATTTGCAGCGCTTTACAGTAGCGCTACAGTAGTCACCGAAAGTTTTGTTTCGCGGTGAAACCATTTTATTTTTTCCGAGGGTTTCTTGCATGATGAGAAAAGAGGAAATAAAAAAGAAAAAGGAAAATTTTCCGGAAAAAAAATTCAGCCGGAAATTTCGGGAAAAAATCGGAGCTGTGAAAGAGAAATGCCGACGGTCTTCGCCGAAGGTACCACAACGAAAACTACCGTAACCCGAAAATATTTTAATTTTCTGGATTCATTTTCTCGATTTTCGTTGTCGTTTTCAGTCAATTTCATCACTATAAAATTGTTAATTTCCGAATTGCAGTGAAAACCGAGAAATAAAACATTTTCTTTGCCTGGCAACAAGTTCATTACGAACGGATATATCAAAGGCGCATGAGCGAACTACCGTATTCTTTGAGTCTATTTTGAATTTTATTTCTCTTTTTCCTTAATTTTTTGACAATTTACATCGAAAAAACTATGAAAATCGTCAAAAACTTGAGAAAATAAGAGGTTTCTCAGGCAACTAATAAACGGAAAGTATAAATATTTTTAGATTACGGTAGTTTTCGTTGTGTGATCTTCTATAGCCCCGAATTGTTTGTATCAGGAGAATAGCATAATAACAAACTGTCTGCACCACCTCAATCCACATCTTATCTATTCTATGAGAACCCTCCGTCGGGATCCCACTGCACACTAAAAGGTGATAGTCTACAGTCTGTCCCAATTGTAGACGTAACGGAAGGAAGGAGGGACTAGATTTACAATCGTTTATTGCTCTGTTACATAATTGCGAAACAATAGATTATCTATGAGAACGTAGAGTGTGAGTGTGACAATCATAAAACCATAACTTGATTCCTGGGAATAGCAGATATTAGAATTTTTGAGTTGTTGGATTCAGATTTGAAGGGAAGACAGAAGAATTGAATAATAGCTTTTCTGGAATTGAAATGAAGATTAACAGACTGAAAACCAGGGAAACCTGTACTCCGGCGTTCTCCAAAAATATACAAAAACATGAAGGGAGGAATTACAAGTCACAAGCCAACCGGCCCATCTTCGAACCATGTACACCGTTGCTCCCTCGAGTTTTAGAACCTAAAAGGGAATGTAATCTGATTATCAAAAGGAATTCTAGGCTTTGTCACCTCCGACAGAAACAACGAAGCCATTGCTAAAAACCACGTACACACATAAAACGCTATGATGACGATGAGAGAGTTGAGAATTCGATTCACAGATTCTACAGTTTTGATGTGCAGATTGTTTTCTGAAATTCCTTCTAAATAGTATGTCAGATTGGGCTAACCGACTTTTCAGCATGTTACACTTGATATGAGTCCAGGTATATATTATTATGACAGAGGCGGCTATCGAAAAATTGAATGCCAGCCAAATTTTTAGAGATGTCTGGTAGAGCGCAGTTACTGGGAGACACACAGGTATTATGATTTCGTCTGGAATGTTACTTTTGAAGACTTGCACTTTGAGCTCAATTATCTCGATTCCTATGAAAGATATTAAAAAGTGGTCAATTAAGAAAATGTTTATCATAATATCAACAGTATTTTATCAGTTGATCTTAGTTTGATATCTTTCACAGGAAATGAGATACACGAGCTTAAAGAGGTCGGCTTGGGTGGTGTTCTATTAGAGTGTTTACGGTAATTGTCGAATAAAAAATTTGAACATTTCACACGTGACTAACAATTTTCCAAACAACAAAAATTACAAAAAATTTTCAAGTTAAAAAATGGGCATTTCTAGGTCACGACCTAATTTTTCCTAGGTCATGACCTAAATTTTTCTAGGTCATGGCCTAAATTTTTCCAGGTCACGACCTAAATTTTTCTAGGCCCCGACCTAGATTTTCTAGGCCATGACCTAAATTTTTCTAGGTCATGACCCAAATTTAAAAAGAAATTGCAGAAATTTTTTTTCGAAGTTTATAATATTTCACAGCGAATAAATCACGAAAAGCGCACAAACAGGTATTATGATTTGTTCGGGAATTTTATTTTTGAAGACTTGCACTTTGAGCTCAATTATCTCGATTCCTATGAAAGATATTACAAAGTGGTCAACTGATAAAATATTTTTCATATCATCAGCAACATTTCATCAGCTAACACAATTTCAAATATCGCTCACAGAAATTGAGATAATTGAGCTCAAAGGGCAATTATAGGTGCCCGTCTATTAGAGTGTTTACGGTAACTTTTTTTTTGGCTTACCTGCCAAGAAAGCATATTTTGAAAAAGTGACCAGTAGAGAGGCAACGACACAGAACACAAAACCAATGATGTAATGGGATATTGGAAGTTTTGAGTATCTGAAGTTTTCATTAGCAATTTAAGCTCAAAAATGCTTACTTGACTGGAAAAGACACTTTATACAACCTGTCCAATCCTATAAATAAACTCAAAATACTCTGCATATTCATTGCGAAAATTCCATAGAAGGAGAATAGAAAACAAGTGGTATTGAAGATATCGTAGAATCCAAGCAACATCATTATTCTTAATTGAGTCTGAAATAGATTACGAAGTTCGGATTGGCTCTAAAGCTTCCATTCGGTCGGGAAACTTATCCGACCGACCGACCACCGACCCAGCCAGCTGTCGGTCGGCGGTCGACGATTTTAGACCAACGGAGATGGAAGCTAACTTCGCTTCTCCTAGGAAACGTACCACATAGACACAAACTACAAAATTGAAAAAGGCCATTATCCCAATCAGAATACAACATCTCGTTTGCAAAGTTTTAATTTTAAATGTCACCAAAAGAATAGTTAGATTTCCAATCAAACCGATAATTGATAAAGCCATAAAGGAAATGATAATAGGAAATGAAACAATATTTTCAGTCATTCTGAAAATTTTTTGAAATCGGAAACCGACCAAGAAAAGGAACCAGGCAAAAGAAGTTAATTATATATGATTATGGTGGCCTAGAAAACCAAAAGAAGACTGAAAATCTAGGATGTCAGGTACCAGGCTTGGTCGGAATCGGAAAATCGAGTTCTCGATTTTTCCGATTTTTTTCGGAAAATTTTTTCTCGAAATAATCATGCTGCGTTCAAAGTGAAGAGGAAATCTCTACTTTGTATAGTTGAAACGGGTGCAACAGTAACCCAAGCGCGGCGAGACCCGCAATCGGTGTCGATTTACGGGGTCGATTTAAGGTGAATTTTTTTAAAATTAATTCTTTTTTGAATGAAAACATACTTTAATCAGGGTTTTCATTACTTTTTCAACATTTTTTTTTCGGTTTATACTGTTCTTAATAGACTTCTTTTATTTTTCAGTGATTTTTTACCTTCTCTCACTGAAAACACTTGGTTTTTTTCAGACTCTATACCCAGTCTCGATACCCAGCCACACCTACAACCGAAAGAAAAGGAAAGCTAAGCGAGCTAGTCGTTGCAGTAAGATCGAAGAATTTGTTCAAAGCCAAATGTGGTTTTCTTCAGGAACACACAAAATGGTTTAGTGAGCGAACCGACATGGATGAGAATCCTATCAAGTTTTGGACAAAAGCAACCAGTCAAGAAGTCTTTCCAACACTTTACCGGCTTCACCTTCGTTTTTTTTCTGCTCCTGCAACAACGGCCGAAGCAGAAAGGTTATTCTCGTCGGCGAAAAATATTCTCACAGATAATAGGAAATTACAGAACGCAGAAAATTTTTCCAAACTTCTTATTTTGCAACAGAATGTAAAATTGATGGGGTTTCATCAACAAAATTCAAAAAATAATTAATACTTTTGTTACTTTTTGTTGCTTGTGCTTGTTCATCTATTGTTTTCCATTTCATTTTTGTGCTTTTTGTTTTTTTTTGTTGTTTTTGTCAAATAAACTGGTAATTTTTGACTAATTGAAATTCGAGAAAATTCGAGAACTCGATTTTCCGGAAAAAAAAGTCGAGAAAAAATTCGAGAACTCGATTTTCCGGAAAAAAAGTCGAGAAAAAATTCGAGAACTCGATTTTCCGGAAAAAAAGTCGAGAAAAAATTCGAGAACTCGATTTTCCGGAAAAAAAGTCGCGAAAAAATTCGAGAACTCGATTTTCCGGAAAAAAAGTCGAGAAAAAATTCGAGAACTCGATTTTCCCATACTTGTGAAGGGCCGGCCCGGGCCGGGCCGAAACACGAATTTCACACGTCCCGGCCCGGTCGGCCCGGAAGTTTACCGCGAACTTCAAAATCTTGAGCGAAAAGTTGAATCATTGTTTCGAAAAAAGGTATTCAGTGTTTTTTTTCTTCGAGTTATTTTTCAATACATTCTAAAAATCAATAAATTCATTTTCAAAAACAAAAACGGCATGATATCATAACAATTTTCAAATATAAGTTGTTTATCGCTTTGACAAAAATGGCGGCTGTTTAAATTCATTTTTCAAAAATTTTGTTTTTTTTCTGCCGGGCCCTGAAAATTTTCTCTCGGCCCGGCCCGGCCCGGCCCGGCCCGGCCCGGGTTTGTTTTTCCGAACAAGCCTGTCAGGTACTAATTTTCTGACATAACAAGAAAGAAAAAAAAATATGAAAAAATGACACAGACAACGCCTTTTTGAAATTGACGGTGTCATACTTCTCCCCGGGGTAAATTGGCTTGTTTTGAATCTTTTTTTTTCGAAGGAACCAAATTTTTTTGGTTTGATTGACGCCATTGAGTTTGCTTGAACTTCTGAGTCAACATTTTAAGTTTTTTTTAAGGAGAGTATCTCAAGGGATGCAGTACCGGTGAAGAGTTTAATGAGTTCACCAAAGCTCAACCACATCGTCAACTTCGAGCTCAATTATCTCGGTTGTTATGTGAGATATCAAAATTTTGTCAACTGATAAAATATAGATGATATTATGATAAATAATTTATTAGTTAACATTTTTTTAGATATTTTTCACAGGAGTCGAGATAATCGAGCTCAAAATTGGCGGTTTGGATAGTCTATCAGAGAAATGTGGTAGACAATTTTGATGTCACAAAAATATAGTAGGTTTAGTTGGAAAATACGGAAAGTTTCCAGGTTTATTCAATGATAATAAAGCTTCAATTTTGTAGTTGACAATTTTTTGTACAAATTAATCCAAGCGAGATATTGCTTTGATAGAAGCCCACACTATACGTTCACTTTGAGCTCAATTATCTCGGTTTCTATGAGAGTTATCAAAATTTTGTCAATTAATAAATTATTTATCATAAAATCGCTGATATTTTATCAGTTGACAACTTTTTGATATCTTTCACAAGAAGCGAGATATATGGATTCAAAGTATGGGGGTTTCAGATAATACACAACAACAAGATTTGACAATTTTCAAAAATTTTATTTTATACAATTTATTAACAGTCCTTCACTCCAGCATTTCTGCACTTGGTGTCACTGGATACTTTTCGGGAACCCTGAAAAAATTTCAATTCTCTAAGCTATGGGAAAATTCCTACCGTATTCCTAAGAATGTAACCGTAGCCAGCACACAAAACGTTGATAAGATTATTATATGAGTTTTCAACAGAGCCTGAGCAGAATAAAACATGACCACACAGCTAGCGGCACTCTGGAAGTTTCTAATTGTCTATCACCCATGATTAGAACATTGTGATAAGTACCTGATAAAATCTGTAAACTGCAAATGCTTCTATCCGCTTATCATGATCATAAATATCACTGAGAATTGTGTAGCATTGTTGATTGAAAATTGTGTCCCCTACACCAAGCAAAAACCCACTGATTAGGACCACATACGGACTGAATTTATATTTTGGAAAAAGCCAAAAAAGTCAGGACCCTTGCCTCGGTTTAAAATACCCTATGGCATCTGTCGGTTGAAGCGGAGATTCATTGGGGAACATCAGAAAAGCCAACAGGAAGCATGTCATGTGAAGCACTGCCGCAAATAGAACCATCTTCTTCCGCCCGATCTCTCGAACGCGTGCTCCGAGAAGAGACAACGCAAAACATCCTGTAATATCCCATCTCTTCTAATACCCAAATCGTTTCATTTTTTCGCTTTTATAAATTTCAATTTAAATCAACTCTCTCCAAAGAGAATTATTCCAAAAATTAAGGGTGTTTTTGTTACGTACCATCAGAATGACTAGAATCACCATGATTATGTATGACCGCCCTAGTCGCAAACTCTCATCATAGGATGTAACAAGTGGCGAACATTGCTTGCCGCCGCGACTACCACAATGCGCGCAGCCGACACTTCCCGGGTTCCGCCGCCCGCTATACTTTGTGTGTGAAGTGGGCGGGGCTTCGCGGGAAGTCAGCAAGGCGCGAGAGAGAAGAGACGCAGACTTGCGGTTTTTCTAGTGAAAAAATTATAAAATCTCACCAGAAACATTTCCGATTCCTACGAAAATCGACGAAATCGCATTGAGATCTCTTGTATTCCCTAACGCTTTTGTAAAAGAAACCATTGTTGGGAAAACGACCGAATAAAATGACAACTCCATTCCAGTGTACAAAAATGTTGATAGAAGGAAAAGAAGGTTACGATCGAAGGATATTTTAACAATTTCGCCTGAAAAATCAGAGAAAAAATGAGCAATATTACTGTAGTTTGATTTCAATTAGCGTTGCGAGCATAGGTCCGGTAATACCAACAGGTTAAAATTTTTTAGGTTATTGTAGTTTTCGTTGTAGAACCTTTTATTTTTTGATTTTTTCATAATTTTCATTGTTTTTGAGCAGTTCTTCGCGATTTTTCCAAAAAAAAAATGCTCAAAATCGATGAATTTCATCGGAAAATCGAAAAAAATAGGCCAGAAAGTAATTACGAAAATACATATTCCTTTAAATGCGCCTTTGAAGATGTCTCTACCGGTACAGTAGGTTTTTCGGCCGCAACTTGCATTGAAATTTAGAAAAAAAAAACTCACAAAGATGTTTGAGGTACGGTACTTGATACCTTTCAGCTCTAAAATGAGGTTTAGGTAGGAAAAATCCGATAACTATTGACACCAATGTACATACTAAAAACGATAGAATCACTGTTCGAATCTGAAAATATGCAATTAAAAAATACTTATTTAAAACTCACTAAAGGCATCTGAAACTCATTTCCAGATTGAAATCTGTACAGGATCAAGAGATAGGATCCTCCGAATATCAGACTGAAAACATAAAAATGTACGGAGCAGAAGAGATTTAAGGTCCCACGAGATTTGAGATAGCCCCCATAGATTTGAAGAATTTCGATCCAAAGTGTGTGGTTGGCAGTTCTGGGCTAGGTAATCAAACTGTCCGGTCCATAGTACTGTAATCAAAAAACTCCAACATCTCCAATTACATCCAAAGACCTACACGATCCAGAGAATCCTGCACATGCGGCCGAAAAATATAAAAAATACTCATTCATCCATAGAAATGCGGCCTCGAACATTGCGTAACCAACTAGTCCACCCACAATCGACCATTTCGGTGAAATTATCTCCACAATTGGTGTGGCAACGAAATGTCCAACTGTGAACACTAGATAGGTCAGAAAGGCACTAAAAAGTATTACTAACTGGATAATTGTATAAAAAACAAACCTATAATAACCTGCATGCCTATTGATACCTTCTGTTTCAGCAACACTTTCAATGAGAGTCTGGGATAAGGCAGCTGGAAAAAGAGATCTAATAATTACAAAAAAAATTTTACAAAAACGGTTGCCCTGAACCAGGATCGAACTGGTGACCTTTAGATCTTCAGTCTAACGCTCTCCCAACTGAGCTATCAAGGCGACGAGAGGAAGGGAGAGGCATTGCATAGAGGAGAGTAGTGTCTTTCTCCCCTCACTTCCACTCGTTCCGACAAACTTACACAGCGTAAAGAAGGAGAAGAAATTGAAGAAGAAGACTGCTCCTAACTGACAAATGTTCCATGTCGGTTGGGACAAACCGAACATTTGGAGACTGAAAATTATAATGAGAATGGATAGATTAAAGCGGATATAATCAATCAACGCTAGAGAACACGATAACGGTTATGCTTTGTAGTCGTCGTCAATAAAAACCATACACTTCCTTCTTCAAAAGGAGAGATTGTCTCTTATCATGTGCTTGTGTTATCTGTGGAGGTGTTATTTTTTTGACCAAGTTTATTTTTTAATAAAAACAATGCGTCATTGAAAAGAATTAATGAAAAATATGGAGCCAAAACATGTAATAGAAGAGCCCCTTAACTTTTATCTTTGAATCAATTTATCTCGGTTCCTGTGAAAGACATCAGAAAGTGGTCAACTGATAAAATATGTTTGAAGTCATAATAAACATTTTTTCAGTTGATCACTTTGTGATATCTTTCACAGGAACCGTGATATAAAGGCGAAAAGTACATGTATAGGGTGTTCTTCTATTAGATTGTTTACGGTATTAGTTTTATGGATACAAGACATCGAAATAAAAACTAAAGTACATATAAGAGAAGCTGATGAGTTAAAAAGCGATTTAAAGATTTTTAGACGAAAAAAAACCCGAATCCATGAGAAAAAAAGGCGTTCATAGATAGTAGGGGAAGAAGGCCCGTGGGGTCTGATCGTTGTTGCGGGTTCTGAAAAAATAGGAAAATTGGGATTACTCGAAAACTGGTCGGGGAAAAGAGAGACATCAGATACCGAAATTTTTTTGTTGGTTTTTTTTTCTTTTTGAAATGAAATCGAGAGTATGTGTCGAACAGGTGGACCGAATGTTCTTGGTGGTTGTTTATTGCTATTGGAAACTTGCGAAGGTTGGAAAAATTGAAATCTTGAAAAAAAAATTGAATTTTGAAACTTCCTGAAGTTCATATTTTTGTAAAATGTATAACTAAGAAAAAAGCTTAATTTTTGATTTGCAGTCGCCGGATTCAGATGCCGTAAAATCTTTAGTAGAAGGGCCATCTAACTATCAAGTTTGAGTTAAGTTATTTCGGTTCCTGTCGAAGATACGGAAACGTTGTCCACTGATAAAATGTTCATCATAATTTCACATAAATTTTATCAGTTCAAACATGTTTAATATCTCTCATAGGAACCGAGATAAATTGGCTCACAGTTGACAGTGTGGGAATCTGTTCGTTTTGGTGACCAGAAATCTAATGTTACGTTCTGTTTCTGTGTACTAAACTCTACTTTGCCAAAACCATCTCTTACCGTCAAACCTTTAAAATTTGAGCTAATTTATCTCGGCTAATATGAAAGATATCGAAAAGTGGTCAACTAATAAATTGTTTATCATAAAATCACAAACATTTTTTCAGTTGTCACATTTTTGATATCTCTCATAGGAGCTGAGATAAATTGGCTCACAGTTGACAGTGTGGGAGCCCTTCGGTTTTACGGTACTCCCGACGTGAGTGGATTACGGTAAATTACGGAAGACTATCAAAACTCACAATCCTTGCTCCACATCAATATCATCCAAACATCTCTTTGGCCTCGGATGACGTGGCGATGGCGGTGGATGAAGATGCTCGACGTCGTCCTCCTCCCCATTCCGTTTCGGCTGAATCTCTTGATACTGGCTGTCCATGAAAATCTTTTGTGTCATCAGAATACAGTATACCAGAACCCAAATGGCGCCAGCGACCATAAAGATTGGGAAGATGTCCGATAGAGCCATCCCTTCACAGCATTCCTCGATTTGTTCTACAGTGACTTCAGAGGAGTCGGTAAGGAGGAGGGAGAAGGTATCGAAGGAAGAGTTACGTGCATGAATCATCGCGACGAACAAATTTGTTAGATAAGTGAATTAAGTGGCTGAGAAGAACATGTTGTGTGCAAGATCATAAAATTCGGACGGCAGTATT